ATATGGCATAGTTCAAATTATATGTCAAACTCAGATAAATGATGAAGAAAAGAAAACAGATATTTTAAAGAGCTCAACAGGTCATAAGAAGTAAAAGGGTAAATCTAGTGCCCAGGGTAATGAATTCACTCAGAACTCTGTAGTCAAGTTTGTCTTCTTGGCCTTTTCAGCTTACCTCACGTCTGTCATGTCCCTTCCACCTCCTTCCCACCAAAGGCCTGTGTTCCAGACACTATGGCTACACCCTGGGACAGCTTCCATTTAGTAAACCAAGGCTGAGGCTTTGAAATGTGTATTCTTAAAGGTTGCTCCAATGTTTTTGCTGTCTCTAAAACTGTGGTCTCTGTTTCAGTTGAGCTATTGCTTTTACAAGATTTCCCTATGAAACCCAAAGAATTAAGCATCCTTCCCAAAAACTACTGGTTTTAGAGCAGAGACAGAAGGAGTTGTAGAATTGAGTGTGTTGTGGGATGATAGGGTCATTTACTTTCTACGAAATCACCTTACCTAGTTGACAGCATATGGGCTGGGGAGAGAGAGGATTCAGTTGGTGAAGCACCTGCCCTGTGAGCATGAGGACCTGAGTTTGGGTCCCCAGCACCTTGTAAAAGCGGGGTGGAGTAGTAGGCGTCTGTAACCTCAGCACTTCTTGGGTCAGCGACAAGTAAATCTTTGAATTCAGTGACAAGCCAGCCCAGGCCGATAAATGAGCTCCAAATTCAGTGAGAGGCTCTGCCTCCAAACCTTAGATGGATATGCTAGTGAAAGGCCTTCTCAGGAGAAAGCGCTTGCTGCTCAAGACTGATGATCTGAGTTCGAGCCCCGGGACTGACAGGAAATGAGAGAACAAAATCCTGATGGGTATCCTCTGACCTATTTATGATCACTATGGCATGAGAATGCCCCAGAATAACACATTTCATCACATATATGACATATATATGTCATATATATATGCATTACAGACACTAATAAAGAAAAGAAAAGAAAAGAAAAGAAAAGAAAAGAAAAGAAAGGAAAGGAAAAGAAAAGAAAAGAAAAGAAAAGGAAAGGAAAGAAAAGGAAAGAAAAGAAAGGAGAAAGTTATCTAGGAAAAACATCTAAAGGTAGCTACCGGCTGCCACAGGATTGTGCCCACATATGCATGCACACACACACACACACACACACCTGACAGTGTATTTAAGGGCTATATTATATCTAAGAAGTTTGATGTGTCTAATAGGCTTTTGAGGATGAACATGAGGTATTAACATAACAGAAAAGTAATTACAGCAGTGCCCTCAAATTACTGAGTTCACTGCTCCGTGCATCCTGTGCACCTAGAGCGTTACCTGATGAAGAACGGCTGTACCCTTGGAAGCAGAACAGCACTGTGAGGTGTTTGTCGTGAACTCCATCACAAAGATGGCAAGGCTGAAGCCAGAAATGAGCAGGTGCTTTTGGCATGACCCGTGACTCAAACCCAGGCACCTAACGAGTCCTTCGATTTTGATGCCAGAATCGCATGCTGAGTGTGACACAGTGCAGCATGGTGATGCTCAACTAAACTAACACTAACGGGAACGAGCATTATTCTAGCAGCATGGATGAGTGGCTTGGTGTTAGTTGGGGGAGTTAAGGAAAAAAATACATGTTCCGTTTTAGCATATGTTGCCGAGCAGTAAATCGATATAAGAATTGTTTGCATTTCTCCATCTAATACAATTGCATCTAACCATTTCAGAAGGAGTGATTTATCTTATCTCTGTTTCTAGAATTCTAGAACTGAATCGTAATACATGTTGCGATTTACCTTGGAACTGTTGACAGTGTATTACAGTGGGTACTGTAGTATTCCTGGTAGAGCGGAAACAATGTAGATGCCCGCATAGCACACCAAACACACTGTCCCACACCCTGTGCTCAGTATCTGCCTGGAGCACACCCATTTATGTACCCTTATTTGCTACAACTAAGACTAAAACCTAATAACAAACACTGGTATTCAGGGTCGGCATCATACTACATAATCATGCTATATGAATCTGTAAACTAGGAATACTGAGACTTAAAGTACACGTGGCTATTTAGCATACCATTTTATTGCTATGTTCAGCACTGTGGTGCAATCAGTACATCACTGGATGGTTAACACTTGATGGAAAAGATCTCTTGCAGCACAGGAATTTCTCTCAGCATCAAAGATAGAATAGAGCCCGAGTACTCCCATGTATGGTTTTCAAGGTTTATTGACATAATGGTGAATTAACTGTGTTGCAGCTCATGGTTCTGCCTTTGGGAAACCCTGCCAGCCACCCTGAAGGTATGACCAGTATAGACTGCTGTAGTCTGGATCCACACTTCTTGTTTGAGGGAGAGAGATGGCTTCCGAGATAGGGTTTCTCTGTGAAACAGTCTTGGCTGTTCTGGAACTAGCTCTTGTAGACCAGGCTGGCCTTGAACTTACAGAGATCCGCCTGCCTCTACCTCTGCCTCCCGAGTACTGGGATTGAAGGCGTGTGCCACCACTGCCCAGCTGGATACATGCTTCTATTGTCATTGCTTCCATTCACAGGTGCCCTTAGCATAGGAGACACATCGTTCTCTTGGATCTAGGCTCTGGTAAAGTGATTGTCAGGAAAATTACACCAAGTGTGGTAATCCTCTTGTTTCTGAGGTCCTTGAGTGTGGGGTTGATATGCCACATGGTGGAGTAGCAGCAACTCAGATCTCTCTGTGAAAACACGGCATGGAAAGCAGAAGCTGGTGCCAGCAGTTTGGGTAGCACAGTGAAGGATTTGTTGAGTGGAAGCGTGCTTGCCTGAGTCCTGACAACACAGGGTATGGGGAGAGTATCAGGTCAAGGGCTGGCCTGGTGGCAAGTGTACATGAACAAAAGCTCTTGGGCCTACTCTTCTGGCTCAGCTTCTGGCTTTGTCCACCACAGCCTGTCTGACGTTATCTCTAGTCTTACGCCCACCTTCTGCAGTGCACATCTTCTCAGAGTTGATGTCTACGCTCAGTTCCCAACCTTCTGCAGTTGTGGCAATACTATCCCATTGCTCATGCCATAGAGACACCTCTTCTTGATCTTTCTGCTTGCCGATTCCCTTGTTGGACTGAGGGTCTGTTCCTCTTCCAACGCTCTTCTCTGGACTGAGAATGCAGCAGTGAAATTCAGACAAACCTCCTGCTGAACGTTCCCTGCCTGTATTTGCGTGGGGGAGACAAACTGGGGAGAGTAATCCTGAAATAACTGCCATGGGAAAAGGTGAAGCAGGGAAGGTAAAAATGCCCTTATAAATGTAGGTCAGGAAAGGCCACCTACCAAGGTAAGACTGGAAGTGTATGAGGAAGTGATGTACACAGGTATCTGGCGTGAAATAGTGCCTAGCACAGAGGTGACAACTGCAAAGGGCCTGGCTGAGGTTAAAGCTGCCCTGCATGTTTGAAGAGCAGGGAGGACATTCTGCTTAAGTGCAAGGAAGGGGTAAGTGTTAGGGACACAGCTTTAAAGACATGGTGCAGTCAGTATTAACACATTTGGTAAAATGGATTGAGACTTGTCCTTGGGACATGGTGGATTGGAGAAAGTTATTTACTGGCAAATTTGATAAAAGTAATGCCCACTTGGTTGGCAATATTTTTGGAGCAGACAACATGAGGGACCTCCTGGGTCATCCACAGGACTGTGATGACCCACAATGCCACAAGGCATAGTATGACTCAACCCTATTACCTTTATGTCACTGTGAAGGGCAATTCCATTCTGCTAGTCAGAGCTGTATGGGGTGTATTTATAAACATGTATTCTGTACTGTCAATACTAAATTACATACACAGTGACAGAGTTGGCTTCTTTTTGCCATTTCTCAGAATTATAACGGAGTATCATGGGTCTTAAGGCACTAGTTTTGTTCAAAGTTATATCACTGCCGGGCACATGCCTTTAATCCCAGCATTCAGGAGGCAGACGCAGGTAGATCTCTTTGAGTTTGAGACCAGCCTGGTCTACAAGAGCTAGTTCCAGGACAGGCTCCAAAGCCTGAGAAACCCTGTCTCAAAAAAAAAAAAAGTTACATAGCCATTGCCTAGTATTCAATATAATGAGTTTTTATTTGTATGAATGACAAATGCATTTATTCACTGATTAGTGCATAGAAGTGAACAGTACAGATGACCACCATTGTATGACTCCATGGTGGTCACCTTTTTGCAGGTATTGCTCTATCGAGACCAGAGCTGGAGGCACAGTCACCTTAAGGAACATGTCAGTGTGGTGCTGTTATTCCCTTCAACCATGGGACTCTTTCAGGAAGAGATGAGCGTATATTGGGATTGTGTTGTTGTTGTTGTTTTGAAAGTTGAAGCGGGCTCCAGATGGCTTTGAGATAGCCATCCCACGAAGCAAGACATTTTTACCTAGGAGAGGAAATAATTCCACCTTATTTGGTTACCACAACCCAGTGGATCTGTTTTCCTGTTTGAGAGCCAACATTTCAGGAAAGGTTATGGCTCTGGGTAGTTTCATGTCCTGTAATATCTAAGATCTGGTTTTGCCTCTTATTTACGGGCAAAGCCAGGAGCCAAATGCGGAAGAAATGAGCTTCGGCATCTTTCATGGTCATTCTTTATGTCCTCTGAGCCTTTTCGGAAGAATTTCCTGGGATTTATGAGTTCTTTATTTCTGCCCTTAAATAGTTCAGTGCTAGACTATTACGAGAGATTGTGTTCTCCTCCAAAGTATGATTTCTACTGAAGCCGAATTCAACAAACCAGGCTTCTATGTAATGAAATCTTCCCAGTGTAGACGATAGTTTGATTTACTTCTGTAAATATTTTTGGGATTTGAGTGGAACATCTAAACTATTGTTAACTGCTTGTCTTGAGTCTGCTTTGGGGCACATTCTCTGCCAACAGCATCCTTATTGGTTCCTGGAATAGGTGACATTTTTCCAACCATGATTTTTTTTCTTTTTTAATCTGTGTTCTCAGCTCATAAAATGACAAATTCCAAACAAGGTGATTATGATTTTAATATACTTTATTTAAAAAGTACACAGTTTTAAATTGGTTTCCATGGTTTTCGAGCAGAAGGGACACTGCCTATCCAGTATAGCCCCATGTCTGAGGAAGGGTGATCACGTGGCAAACTCACATTGGCATGACTGGCAAAGTAAAAAGATAACTTTTTGTCAATGTATCTGCAAGAGTTCCTATCACGCACAGTTTGAAATCATGAGATGCTGATGGCCTATGCTTTTGTCTCTATGTCGCACCATATTTGGGTTCACAGTTTATCCATGATTTATAGCATGCCAAAAGAACATCTCGGGAGTCAGTGTCACCTCAAGGAGAGACTCGAAACCAGAGGGAGCAGCAGCAGGACCGCCTGGGCCTGGAGACTCGATGCACCCCCACACTCTCTTGCGTTCTCCTGCAAGGAAAGCAGGGGCTGGTTAGAGCAGAGATGGGTTCCAGAACTTTAGGCTTTGCCATTTCCATACCGATGAAGATTCTGGAATCTTCGGACTCAGTGACAGAAGGATACAGATTTGTCTAAATCCCACCCAGCTAGAGTTCCAAATCCCTAACTGCAGTTGTCAACGTGAATACATTCTGAACTACTCTTTGGAAATTATTCTACTTTCTTAAAGGTTTATTTTTCTCTTATGTGTAGGTCATGGGCCGTGACTGTCGAGTGCTGAGCCTGCAGAATCCAGAAGAGAGCATCAGATCAACTGAACTCTCAAGCAATTGTGAGCAACTTGAAGTAGATGCTGGGAACCTAACTGGGGTCCTCGGCAAGAGCAGTATGTGCTCTTAATCGCTGAGCTACTTTGGAAATTATGTAGACCCACTGAAGGTGGCTCTCATCCTTGCTAATACTGCGACCCTTTAATACAATTCCTCATGCTGTGTTGGCCCCAACTATTAAATTCTTTTTATTGCTACTTTATAACATAGTTTTGCCACTGTTATGAATCATAATGTAGATCTTTTTGGAAAGAGGTTTGATGAGGGGTTGTGACCCACAAGTTGAGACTGACTGATGTAGTGCATTCAAGAGGTAAAGGGCTGCTGCTGCAGGCATCCGCCTCTGCAGGTATCCATCGCTGGAGGCATCGCCACTGTTGGCATCGCCGCTTCAGGTATCCGCCTCTGCAGGCATCCGCCTCTGCAGGCATCACTGCTGCAGGCATCCGCCTCTGAAGGCATCTGCTGCTGCAGGTATCTTTTGTGGTCTTACAAAAGCATGAGAGGGTGAAACACACTAGTGTTGAGAGACACAGTCAGCTCAGAAATTGCTTCTCCGGTCATTTTTCTTTTTATTTCGGGGAGACCCTATTTCAGAAAAATAATTTTATGTGTTTCTTTCTCTTAAACACATGCAGAAATGTTGCCAACTCCATTATTCTCTTATTCTGTTTGGCTATTTTCTTACTAATGGGTGTTCACTTTATCATCTATTCTATACTTTTCCAAAAGCCACCAGATGTTACTACTCTACTACCATCAGTGTGGTTTGCTTCTGCCTGTGGGAAAGGTACTCAAGAGAAAGGCTGTAAAACTTGAGACTGCTGTGCCTCTGAATTAGACCTATCTGTCTCTTCACTTTGTATTACTTTAACAACCTTGGACTATTACTAATTATCAACATCATTTACAATGCTCCTGATTTTGTCAGATTTTTTCCTAGTTAGGTCAAGCTACTTGAATAGTTAAATGGGTCTGTTTTTGTTCCACAGCTTCTAGTCTTATATAATGAAGCATCTTATTAATTTCCTAGGATGTTATCCAGGAATTAATAAGACTACTATTTCACCATGTAAGACTAATCCATATATTCTTTTTGAATTAACTGTTTCCTTATACAACTACTTTCTAGGTTATACTGACCCCAACTTCAGCATTCTAGGAAAAAGAAACTACAGAACTTTATGTTTATCTTATATCCAGCTACCAAAGAAAATTTTCTTGTTGACTCTAGTAGCTTTTACTTTAATTACCCAGAGACAGATTCTTACTTTGTACCTAAGTCTGGCCTTGAACTTGCTCTCTTCACACCTTGGACTCTCAGATGCTGCCTTTTAGGTGAGGCTAACACACCCAGCCCAATTCCTGGATTTAATTCTAATTGTTTATATTTTCAGAGTTGCATGTGACTAGGGTCACTGAAATATTAAAAAGGTTTTCAGCATATGTATAATATGTACAAAATGTTGCTTTAATTTCCATTTTGACTATAGATGCAAATATTCTCCATAAACTCTAATTCATTATAGTCAAAATACTGGCAGTACTTAAAATAGGTAGTGTATCGACTTTTAACACCTTAAGAACTGGATAGCCTACAGTACATCAAAAATTATGTGCTATTTGAAAGTGCACAGACAGGAAGAAGGCTGGGGTGACATTTTCAACGGTAGCTATTCAACCTCTCTCTAGTAATAGATCTGGGCAAGCTTTCTGCTTTGGGTAGGGCAGAAGTGGGCTTCATTTATGAGCTTATTCTTCTTGTTTCAAAATGTTGTCACCGATGCAGCTGCAGAATGTATGCAGACTCACCTTTGTCAGGAGTGGGCTTAATTCTACCCTCACCGACAGAGGTGTGGCAGTTTAGGGGTGTTCACACACTCCCAGGAGAGCAATGGATGCAGGCCAGCAGGTTTGTAGAGGACAATATCATACTGGAGCTGGACAACCCTGGTTGCCACTTAGCGTTCCCCTCCATCAGTGACCACAATCTGATGCTAAGTCGCTACTTTTCCTTAAATAGATATCTTGTAAACAAAAAGTTATCTGAAGTAATCCATGGAAGTAACTTTACCTTCCATTTAAAATAAACAAACCATGATGGTCAGAGCCACCTTGCATATGATAAAATCATCACTCATAGAGAGTTAGAAAAAGATATATATATATAAGAATATATATTCTATATATAAGAATATATATAGACAACAAAGGAAGAGGTCACCAAGTAGAGATGGCCTGAATACCTCCATCTATTAGCTCTCATGTATTCCTCTTTTAGCTTTCTGAAAGGAATAATTTTCTCATGAGTCAAGTTTCAGCTGTAGTTCCTGGTCATCATGAGGTACTCATTGTGAATCTGATGGGAAAAAGAATTGAAATGGTTCTCAGACTTGCCTCAGGATGGAAGCCGTGGCAGGATTCCGGACGCCGTCTGATCTTCTGAGCCTTTAAACGTTCGCACTTAAGGGATTCATTATGTTGACTGTAGTTAAGGCATGTTTCCGACGGCTGCTTCTCTCGCTCTGAATTTCAGGGGTCAAAACTTGGCACTAAGTAGCTTAAGCGCTTTTCTCCATACACAGGTAAAGGATGTAACCCCTCCCTCTTTGGCACGTCTCCCTCAAGTTTCCTTCCTGTTGTTTCCCCTTTACCAGTTGCAGCTGCAGCGGCTGGACCCCCACACAAAAAAAGGATATACCTGATTTCAATGGGCGCCATGGTGATGGGAGCCACAGACTCACAGAGACAGCTGCTGTCCACCACCACCATGAACAGATTGCTGCTTGGGATTTGTTGGATTACAAAGGACCTGTGGGAACAAGTAACAAGACAGTGAGAGGTCACTTACCATCTGTCTTCGTTTCATTTCTGTTGCTTTGATAAAATCCTCTGACAACAGGACTTAGGAAGAAAGGGTTTATTTTAGTTCCCAGTTTCAGGTTATAGTTCATCATTGCAGGGAAGTCACAGCTCAGGAGCTTGGCACAGCTGGTCACAGGGCATCCATGATTAGGAACATGATACAGTGAATCCAGGCAGTCTCACGCTCAACTCATTTTCTTCACCCTTGTATCGTTGAAGATCCCTTGCCTGGGGAATACTGTCTTCCACATTGGATAGCTCATTCTCCTCAATTCACATAAACAAAATGAGTTGGCCAACTTGATAAAGACAACCATGCATTGAGATTCTCTTCCCAGATGATCCTAGATTGTATTCACTTGACAGTTAAAATTAACCACCACACCATCTCTCAAATGAAAAGATATATAGCAATACTTTTCCCCTGTGGGAACAACTATAATATTTTATGGAGCCAGATCCAGAGACAACCTTTCTAGGAAGTTGTTCCCCTCAATTGAGATGCTTTAATCAAAAATGCCAAGCTGGAATAAGAAAGTAACAGCTGTATTCTCTTGAAGTTAGTACCATTCCTCTGGAGAAACTGAGGTTTCAAGTAGAGAAATCAGTCAAAACTGGGTAAGTCACGTCAGTCCATATCTGACTTCATTCTATAGAAATTAGGTTTCAGGAAGCAAGCTATCTCCTGTTTCTCTGCCAAGGACATCCGGTTTGCTAAGAAAATGTCCAGGGCCCAAAGCGTCATCTCATACTATGATTTTCTTCCGGCAGAGCTTTTCTCCTTTCTTCTGACCTCTGTGTGCCATGCTGAGAAGTCCCATTCCTGTACCGCGTTGTCCTCTATCTGACCAGGAGAGAGGAGGGTGTTTTCGGTGAAACTGATTCTAGACATAGAAGATGTCTAGAATCCATGCTAATTCCAGATCTAAGACTAGATAGTAACTCTAGCCTTTGAGATCCACCAGTCCAGCCAGTCCAGTTGTAGTGAGCTTGATGGTGTCACCATCGTGGAACTGGAGTGAGCTGAAGAAGCTGCTTGTATTAAAGATTGTGCTGACTACTTATCTCGGACAGCTAGAGCACTGGAGTGTACAAAGACTTGGGATGCTGTAGGGGCTGAGCTAAAAAGTTCTCGGTCCATCTTAGTCCCTTTAATAAACTTAATTTTGTATGGATCTTAACATCCTTGGGAGTGCTGATCTTAACATCCTTGTATTAAGGACACTCTTTGGGACTAATCTTATGTGAGCCCTAACCTCCACCAACACCAAAGCTAAGAATGCTAAGATCGCATCAGAAAGCTCGCTTTGTTTAACAGCCTACCTCCCTAAGGCCCCCACTAAGGTATTTGGAAAATGGATTTACTTAATATTTTGTTTAGTTAAGTGACCACAAAAGTTGATGTAACTTCCTCCGTGGTGGAATATGTCATTCAGGGTGACTTGAATATGTGTTTTGGGGCCATGGTCATTCATAGTTGACTTAGAATAAATTATCTTCTCATTTCTATTAAAGCATGCACGCTATTTAATATCAACAGTTTTAGTGCCTACGCGGATCCCCAGAGAGTATCTACTTTTGCCAGGAGAGTCATTTGGATAGCTGCCATGCACCAGTTTGTCCTGTCAATGTCCACAACCCCAGCACACAATGCCTCTTCAAGAAGATATTGGTGAGGCCAGTATCCTGCTTTTGTTTGACAAGTCCTTAGCTTTATTCTGAGTTCATTGCTATGTTTGGAGGTCCTCTTACAAAACATTTGTTTAAACTTTAGTGTATTATCAGTTGGCTTTTTAAAAAAATATAGCTTGTTCATTATCTGTATTTGTAGTTTAATTTGTCCTTCTTCCAATCATTCAAATTTCCTGTTTTTAGCATAGAATTATTATGAGTACCTAATTCTAAAGATGCCAGGATAAGGTGGTACTTTTACCTTCCGGCTTGAAAGGGTGTGGTTAAGAGACTAACTGGATGTTATGCGTGTGCTCCTCAGTCTACACTATGATATCAAGTTTCCCAAATCACTTTATGCCTGGGTCAGAGGGAATGCTATTGGATCATGCAGGAAGAACACATAAGGGTTCTTGAACTCTGCCACCTTCATAGACATGGAGGATAAACCCAAGCTACAGAGGGAGGAACTAATTTCCGGGTAAAATCAGAGGAAGGGAAAGAATTCCCACAGCATAAACTGATCAAGACTCCCAGCCCATCAGGGGTTTTACATAGGGAAAGCCTTTGTGGAAACAGAAATTCATGGAAGGAGAAATATTTGGGAAATGATGACAGTTTGTCAGAAAAATGGGGTCCCTCTTGTTCCATAGAACTGTGGTTGATCATTACCAGTGCTACAGATGCCAGGATTGCATGAGCCCACTCCATCCCATTCTGAAGACCTGGAAATTTGTTTAGGTGTAGCACAGACCCAAACATCTCTCATATTTTCCTTTCTGAATCTCAAAGAATGTCTCAGGACCATGGCCGTTAGTAATACAACACCAACATCTCTTTCTTTGAGAGACCACAGAACAAACCTCCCCAGATCCCACATCACCGAGATAAGGCCTGGGCAGCATAAAGGAAAACAACTACCTTTATGAACTGCTGCGGGCTAGGCTAGACCATGGAGACATCACCTGAGCCTGAAGAAATCACACAGCTCTTCATCTCTTTTATAGCCAACCCAAGGCACCTATAACCCATAAAAGCTACTTGATAAAACGGGCAAGAAGAACAATTTTAGAGAAGATATACAGACATCAACATAAATATACAACCATGACTTTCCATCAAAGAATCTCAATTTGAAGAAAAGCTTGAATATTGCTGAATTGCTGACAGTTTATAAAATTATGGTTCTAAAGAAACAGTGAAATGCAAGAGAAAGGAGACCAATATAAAAATTCACTGAAAACATGGAAATTATAAAGATTAACCAATAATAAGTCTAAAACGTTGCATTAAAAATGATTCAGCCTAACTGAGAGAGAAACGCCATGAGAGAGAAGGCAGAAAGCACGTAAAAGGCAGGTGTGGAAGAAGAGCGGAGTGAGGTGCTGTGTTCCAGACACGCCATGGCTATAATACCACTCAACTCACAGCAGCTGGAGCTACCCGGACAAGATCAAGCATCCCAGATTCCAGCAGAAATGGGAGAGAACCTCGTGAAGGGCTGTGGTTCTGACACAGCCACAGTCTATGTTGATATCTACAGCCTTTGTTATCATAGGGGTACCAGAAGGTGGCCGTAGGAACAAAGTGTGTCGACATCTGAGGGTCATGGGGAGCTGGCCCTGCCCCTAGCTGGATACTGCAGCAGAAGAGTTGGAACCCTAAATCAGGAAAGATGACCCCACCCCTTGCCTCAGGCGTGTACCTTACCTGGGCAGCACACTAGAGCTAACCCCATTGTGGGCATGACAACAGCAGAGCTGACCCCTACCCCCTTGTCCACCATGTGGTAGCATGGCTGAAGAAGAGATACTTTCCCCTCCCACTCTTTGCTAACTGTGGCAGGTGAGAGAGCTGGCCCGGGGTCATGAGAGTCGGAGAACTACCCCTGCCCGTCACCAACTGCAGCATACAAGACAGCAGACCCTGTACTCTGCCCGGGGAGCACACTAGAGCTAATCCTGTTGTCAGGGATACAGGTAACCAGACCTGAGGGCACAAGAGCCCCTCTGTATGCCCCCTAGAGCAACTGGGAGAGATGGCTCCGGGGCAAAACAGTAGAGCTGGTCCTGGTGATATGAGTGAGGGGGACCCGGATTTGTGGACCCTGGAGCAGGAAAACTGGCTCGTTCCTTGCTGCAGGCTGCATTGGGTGAGCTAGCAGAGACAGCGCTGGAGAGCTCGTACAGACAGGGATGATGAGGGAAAGCTAGTGAAAGGAGCAACCCAGCTACCGTCCAGAACCAAGGCTACGAGTTGGCCCACTTCAACATCCACGGATCTATGAACTGTTGGATCATGTGACAGAAACAAGCCTACAGATCCCAAACTGTAGGGTCCCCATGACACAGGACAACACTACAGCTTCCACATCGACAATCTTCTCCTTTCTGTGTTGTTTGTTTGTTTGTTTGTTTGTTTGTTTGTTTTGGGGGTGAGACTGCAAGGGTAGAGGGCAGATGGGAGGGCAGGGAGATAGGCAGGATGCATGATGTGAAGTGCGCGATGCATCAATAAAAGTTAAAAAATTGATCTAGCTATGTGCTGTCCTACAAAAAAATCATTCCGTTGGTAAACACACACATAGCTTAAAATTGAACAGTTGAAAAAAGACATTGCACAGATGGAAACCAAAAGTGAGCAGAGGTGGCATATATGTAAAAAGAAAAGCAGACTTTAAATTAAAAATTTAAAAATTTTGAGATTAAAGTATCAATTCTGAAGGAAGATCCAGCAATTTCAAGTGTGCATATACCTAATAACCTGCTGGCCAAAGAGTAAGGCCAATACTAATGTTAATGAAATGGGAGACGCTAATAAATTAATAGTTGGGTGGGTTTGTTTCGCACTTTCCCCAATGTGCCCATTATTATCCTGACAGAAAATCAACAATGAGATATCTGGATTGAGTCATGCTCTAAGTCAAGAGGCAACAGATTTGTTCATCGGACAGTATCGCCATGCGCATTTCTCTTGTGTATACATCAAACAGTTTCAGGGTAGGTGTCATGTTAGGTAACAAACAAAATCTCAATATTGTTCTCAAAATTGAAATCACAGTGTGTATTTCTCAGTCCTGAATGGAATGAAACCACAAATCACAAAGTGAATGGAAAGACTAGAAACTGAGTATGTTCCTGAGTGGCCAATAGGCAAGTGGGGAAAACATGACAACAAATGCAGATGCCAGTGTCACCCACGAAATCTGCGGGATGCAGCAGAGGCATCGGGCCTGAGGGGAAAACGTGGACAAACATGCAAACTCAAAACAGTCAA